TAATTGCTCTCAGCGAAGTATTTAGAGGACACTTTCTTCCAAAGTAGAAAAATAAATCCATTCAAGAACGCTGAACTGACTTAAGTAAATCATTTACTTCCGGATTCCCATGCTTTGCAATAATAGAATCACTTCTTTGATGTTACAGTGCCTCCAATATCACGATACTTTCATCTCTAGTTGTTGTTGTTGTTGTTGTTGTTGTTGTTTTGTCCTGCCTCATTATTTCGATTTTGAGCATAGTGTTCATCTAATTCATCCCATGTTTCATGTTTGAGTGGGGGGGGCGGGGACTGGGTGACACAAACTCCCGGACAAGAGTTTGCTGCATCGCAGTGGCGGAGGGCGACGCGACGCGGCGCTGGCGGTGACATGGTCGGAGCGGCGCTAAGCTCCTTCGGGGAAGTGGCGCGGGGGGGGGGGGGCAGCAAAGCCCACGCAGAGAGCTATCTCCTCACGACCGGCGCACTCACACGCCATGAATTGTAGCTGTTTGCGCTCGCTCTGCGGTGGCGAGGTCGAAAGTTGCGGTCAACCTGCCGCCCGGTGCCCCGACCCTGATAACCGACGCTACCGGTTGTTACCGCCAGTGCGCAGCACTGCCCGGCAGAAGGTACGGTTACCGAAGAACTGGACGAAGCTACTACTTGTTTCCAAGGCAGTTAGGGAAAGATAGAGCTATGAGAACTTCTGGTCATTGAAAGAGTCCTGTGAGTAACGACTTCATTATCTCTCTGAGATTCGCGTTGTGTTGCGAACGTTTTCCTTTGGAATGTTGGTTCTCAGGTATAAAGAAAATAAACGGAGGTTGGAAGAAAATAGTTTTACGAACCCGAGTAGTAACAATCAAAGAACAATTGAGTTTTTTTCCGGTTAAAAGTCAATCAATTTAATTCTCTCACGAAGCACGAGAACAACAAATAATTTCTGTGTTCTCACACTCATATCTTCTGAGCTGTAAACAGCGCCTTCTCTGAGGTTGTATTCTCTCGGGTTCAAAGGAATAGTTGCAATTATGAAATAAAAATGTCAAGGGATTGGTTAATTTTAACAATTCATTACGATGCTAAAAGACTAAACAATTTCATTTATTAAAGTCCACCTTTTTCTTTTCTTTTAGTTTTAAATAATTGCAAGGTTAAACATTATGTTTGCTGCATTGCATAGAAGTGCGCAGAAGCGGCGCCAGGTGGGTCTTCATCCCCTCTTTAAAAATTTTAGAAGGGTCCCCTAGTCTTAACTAAGAAAACATGAAGGTTTTGTAATTATGTTCTATCCCGGTTTTCTCATGTTTTAATGTGACAGTTTGGGAGAATTTTGGACTAGTTTCTCAAAGCCATCTGTAAAAATAAACAGAAAATGAATTGTAATATTTATTAATTCTATCATTAAAGTTATAATTTCATACTCATTGTAAAACGTTTTATTTATTTAATAGTAAAATACAGCTTCTACGTAAGTAAAAATGTTTAATGGTAAAGGGCGTACAGAAACGTGGTTGGCAGCCCTTCCTCATGTCAGGCAGAGCCCTCCCACGCCGCATTGTGTGCTCGGGAACGAATTTCGGCTCGGCGCCGGGGCCGAGGCGGGCCAAGGCGGGCCGCGGCCCGTGCGTGCGCGTCGTCGCCTGGGCCTGATAGCCTGCATTACGGCTCGTTACTGCCAACGCGCGAGCGGTAAGCGGCGTCCGCCCCGGGCCGGGGGCCTGCCCCGCCCGCGAGATACGAACGGGTCCGCCCCCCGCCGCCGTCAGGGGGCGTCGACCGCCGACGGTGGTGGCGACGGCGGCGGCGGTGGCGACGGCGCCGAGGGGAAGTCGCGAAGCGAGGGAAAGAGAAAGCGGTCCAACGGGCGTTTTGGGCAATTGGCGGGGGAGGTGGCCCGACGCGATAGCGGCCGCGGGGAGGGGGGGCAGCGTGAACGGGAGCGGAAGAGCGCTGGAGGACGCAACACGGCGGTTTGCTATTTGATAAGCGCGTTTGGGGAAGGTAGAGTAGGAGATGACCGCGAGCACACAGTGACGTGTTAATTAGGATAGTCGTCGTGGGGTTCGGTGCTGTACAAATGAGTTGGAAAGAATGTATAAATTGCCGACAGGTGATTGAGGGCAACTACATTTAGAATAGCGCTTGCCACGTTCTTCGATTATAGGTGTCAGGGGCAGAAAGAGATGAGAGGAACGCTTCAGTTGAGAGGTGAAGTCAGAACCCTTTTGAAGGCCAATGAACTGTTATAATAAGGGTAAGAATGTAAAGAAGAAAAGTAGAAGGTGTAGAGAAGTCGATAGGAGAAAAGCGCAAAAGAGAGGAAAAGAGCTACCGTGCTAGCGAGAGAGAGAGAGAGAGAGAGAGCCGCCGCCACTGCGCCCGTTCTCCTAAACGTTTTCGAGCTTTTTACTTAGTAAATACCAACAGTTTACATATTGTAATAACGGGGTCAGAGGAGAAGGGAAACATCTAGACAAAATTGTGAATATAATTTATTAACAAGTGCTGGCAAACAACCAGTGGCGGTGGGGGCGTCTGGGAGGGCCCCTCAAATCAACACAGCCCTACCCAAAGTCATAACAACTGATGGATATTTTATCGTAGTCCAACGCTGAAGCCAAAGCGTAACCGGATTCTGTTTTTAAACAATTGTAATCTAACTCATCGCTACAAGAAATTCAAAGTTGATGTTCTGACCACTCACTTACCAATAAAAATGTTTCTTTTTTACCTAGGTGATTTTGCCCAATATATTAGTAGCAAATGGAAGGCGTAAACAATATTAATTGGCAGTTCCGTGTGCATTTTGTATTTGTCTATCCTTATAATTTATTTTCTTACACTGATTTATATGATTAGCCATGTCTATAAATAAATCAGGGTTTTATTTTGGAGTACTGAAAATTCGTAATGTGATCAGATGAATTTAGATGATGAAGAATAAAACATATCGAAAACAAATTAATTATCTCAGATGTTTACAGATAGACAACGAATTCGAATCACATTTTACGAAATCACTTATTTCACTTCCCATTCAACAAAAACCGGAATACAGAAAGCTGACCCACCCAAATTAACAATGTAGTACACGCCCGTCGCTGCTCATCAGCCCAGTGTCATTCCATCTGCACCTACTAAATGTCCAATCAGCTGCCGCAATGATAAACTGCCATGAGCGTTGTAATCATTTTCCTACTGACTCTCCAAATGTCCGTCTTAACAGAACAAGCCACCTGAAATGTTTCAGTGAGCCAGGCCTTTCTCCTACAGACAAGTTAATCATTTTCAAACCTCTCTCCCTGGCCCCTTTTCTCTCTCTCTCTCTTTACCCCTCTTCTCTCTCTCTTTCTTCGCTCGCCTGCGCCTCTCTCTCCTCTCTCTCTCTCTCTCTTCTCTCTCTCTCTCTCT